AGATGCACTTGGCTGTGGCTGTGATTAGCTCAGTCCCCTCCAGGGTCGGGTCTGCCCATTTCGGTTAACCCTTTGAAGGATCCACTCCCTCGAGTATTAAGCCTGTGCTTTCAGATACAGATGGGGAGGCCGCCACAGACGTCAAAAGTTATAATCCAGGGTCAAGAAGATACATCAAGCTTGACGACTAAACACTGGTCCCCTTTTCTGGACCCTTTTGTATGTTTCTTCGACAAAGCAAACACGTCGCTTTTGCCAACCCAATCCTATCGGCATGTGTGAGCGCCTACTACAGCACAAACAGAATTAAAGAAGTATCCTGGTCCTGACAAGCGGAGAAGGGACTCCGCGCAAGGTTGCTACTGAGACGGTGACCATGCATGGCCTGTAATGCAGACTGCTGTCCACAGGGCTTTTTTTGTAGAAAAAGCCCAGCAGGAACTCATTAGCATAATAGGCCGCACCCAACAGCAGAAATTCATTTGCTTATTAGGACACACCCCTGACAGCACAGCTCATTAGCATATTAGGCCACACACCCCATGTTCGCAGAAGTGTGGTCATCCAGACACACTCACCTTTTGCTTCTTATTCTGTTTAGGGCTTTTTTTGTAGCAGGAACTCCTTTGCATGTTAGGCCACACACCCCTAATGTAGCCAGTCCTAATGAGTTTCTGCTGTTGGGTGTGGCCTATTATGCTAATGAGTTCCTGCTGGGTGGGGCCAACTTGGGAGCCAGCCGGAACTCCGTTCCTGTGCGTTCCTGCCCCAAAATAGCCCTGGCTGTCCACTGCTCCAAGACCTCTTGAAGACCCACAGGAGGCCCTGGGCAGGAGGCTTCCACTGGCTCGGCTCCATCTTTTCCCGTCTTTGCCCTGGTTATCATGTCACATACTTCTAATCCTTTTAACCACAGCTAAGCATCTCCTCGCCCTCACCTGGATGGCTCACGTGAGACCAGCCTCATTAGATCCTGGAAGCTAAGCAGGGTCGGCCCTGGCTAGTCCTTGAATGGGAGACGACCAAGGAAGCCTCTGTACATCTCTAGCCTTGAAAACCCCATGGCATCACCTTAAGTCAGTGGCACCCTGATGTCACTTTTCACAACCGAGCATCTCCTAAGCCTGGGCACTGCTCATCTCCATTCCCAAGCCGAAGAGCCAGCGCTGTCCGAAGACGTTTCCGTGGTCATGTGGCCGGCATGACTAAACACCGAGGCGCATGGAACGCTGTTCCCTTCCCACCGAAGTGGTACCTGTTTTTCTACTTGCAATTTCTTGCTTTCGAACTGCTTGGTTGGCAGGAGCTGGGGCCAGAGACGGGAGCTCACTCCGTCACGCGGCACTCGGGTCTCGAACTGGCGAACTACAGACCTTCCGGTCTGCAGCTCAGCGTCTTAACCTCTGAGCCACCGCAGCCCCATAAGCCTAGGTATACAGCTATATAAATAATAATGGCATGCATAGAACAAAATTTGAGTCCAGTGATACCTTTAAGACCAACCAAGTTTAGTTCTGGGTCTAAGCTTTCGTGTTCATGCACACTTCTAAGCAGGGCTATTTTTGGGCAGGAACGCACAGGAACGGAGTTCCGGCTGGCTCCCAAGTTGGCCACACCCAGCAGGAACTCATTAGCATAATAGGCCACACCCAACAGCAGAAACTCATTCGGATTGGCTACAATTAGGGGTGTGTGGCCTAACATGCAAAAAGCCCTGGGTTTTGACAACAAACAAGGTAAAGAGAATAAGAAGCAAAAGGTGGGTGTGGCTGGATGACCACACTTCTGGTAACATGGGGTGTGGCCTAATATGCAAATGAGCTGTGCTGTCAGGGGTGTGGCCTAATATGCTAATGAGTTCCTGCTGGGCTTTTTCTACAAAAAAAGCCCTGCTTCTAAGAATATATACCCAGAATTAAACTTCGTTGGTCTTAAAAGTGCCGCTGGACTTAAACTTTGTTCTGGCATCCTGAGAGCTTTGAAAAGCCAAGCGGGCAAGAGAAAGTGATTGCCCTGTAACCCTGCTGCTTCACAGGAAAGGCAGTCTTGGGACACAGAGAGCTGTTTCAGCTGCATTTACTAAGCACAGAAACCTCAGCACACCAATAGCCATGGAGGGCTACAATACTGAATGCTGGTTGGTTCTCTAATTCTTTAGATTGTAAGTCTGTGAACAGGTCCAGTTTATTTAAAATTTTAAAGCACTTTGTTGTTTTAGATGCTTTATAAATAATAATGACATGATTAGATTAACTGATTAGAACCTCTGGTCGACGCTTTAGGCAACAATTTTGTTAAAAAAAATGGCGATTGTTTTTCCATTGGTACTTCATTTACTGACACATTACTGCAGGCAGTGTTCCCTCTAAGTTGAGTTAGTGTGAGCTAGCTCACAGTTTCTTAGCCTCCAGCTCACACATTTTTGTCTTAGCTCAGGGAGGAGGGCTCCAGGACAAACTAATTTATGCAGTAGCCAAATCACCTGCTCAGAACTTTAATGCCAGTAGCTCACAAGGTAGAATTTTTGCTCACAGGACTCCACAGCTTAGAGGGAACACTGACTGCAGGTATCAGGTGTCGCTTTTACAGGAAGCATTCCATGATCACTCTCATACTGCAGGGCGGGCCTCATCTAATCTGGTGCCTGCCCTGACATCTAAGAAAAGTGTGTTTTCCCCTCCTCAAACAACTGTTTTATTCACTTGCAAATTATGTAGAGTTCATCAGTTTATGAAAATGTGTATGATTCATTGACTCAGATTTTGAAAATCATTTTTTTGGAGTTACATTTAACTGGGCAACTAAAACGTGCCATTTTACTTTGACAACTTGTGTTCAGCTAAACGTGGAAGGCCGCACTTAACTATTCAGTGGCCCCCCGCTGTCCTTGAGTCTAAATACAGCCAAATGAGGGGAGGGTCCGACAGGGACTGAATAACTCTAAAGCTCTAAAACAAACATGGCCCCCAACAGATCTAGGTCATTTATTTGCTGAATGAGGTATTTGGTCCCACTTTACAGGAAACTTCGGGTCAAACCTCGGGATGGCTAAATGGAATTGTGCAAAAACCACAGCTGTGCTCTAGTAAAGGTAAAGGTAAAGGTTCCCTTGCTCGAAAACCAGTCGAATCCGACTCTAGGGTTGCGGTGCTCATCTCCGTTTCAAAGCCGAAGAGCCAGCACTGTCCGAAGACGTTTCCGTGGTCATGTGGCCGGCATGACTAAACACCAAGGCGGACGGAACGCTGTTACCTTCCCACCGAAGTGGTCCCTATTTATCTACTTGCAATTTCTTGCTTTCGAACTGCTAGGCTGGCAGGAGCTGGAACTAGAGACAGGAGCTCACCCTGTCTTGCGGCACCCGGGTCTTGAACCACTGAACTACTGACCTTCCACAGCCTACAGTTCAGTGTCTTAACCACTTGAGCCACCGCAGCTCTAGTATCAATCCTATATTTGGATTTCACTTTTCCAGGGTGGGTAGGGGTGTGTGGCAGGTTCCCACCAGTCTGGGACCTCTCAATCTACTCCAACTATTTCTCATAGTCTTGCTTCCATATACATTGTAATACACAAAGAGCAAAAGCAGGTAATTAAATGAAGACCAGAACAGAACACTTTTCAAAATTCGTAAGTTCCCTCTGTCACTGTTTTCTATTAAGTAGCCAGTTGAATCGCTTAATAAATCCAATATATACAATCTATGCTTTTTATAAAATAGATCATTTTTCACTAACAGCTTTTGGCAGAGTACGTAAAGAATTTAATTCACAGCTGCACCACATTTTAAATAGAGAAAACATTAATCAAAGCTTTGGTTATAAGCTTTTCTGATGTTGTTTAGTATTCCAGTTCAACAAAGATCAATAGAGGCCATTTCTGTCTCTTGACGCCTCTCCAGGAAGCAGAGGTGCGATTATGTAAATAGCACAAGCTCCTCTTTACTTCTGCCAGCTTGCTTATCTCCAAAGCCTTCTGCCTGCTGCTATTGGCGACCAACACAAGTACATGCATATACCTCTTATCTCTAAACAAAGCTCGGAAAGCTCACGGACCTAAGCCAATAATGTTAAACAGTGATGTGTGTCTGATTTTATTTGTAAAGTGATTCATTTCACTAAATTTAATTTGTTATTTTTTTAAAAGCTCACATATAAAGATAGGTTGGTCCATCACAGCAAGAGAAAGGAAACAGATGCACCAAAATGTTCACCGGGATTTGAGATAATCTATCAGACAATCCAACACAGCCTTCCTAATATAATTAGGAAGAGCCGGTTTCTCAAAATGGGCATAAGCAGAGCATAAAGGAATCTTACACGGAGAAATCTGTCGGGCTCGCCTTGTGTTCTCCTTCTAAGAGACACAGCTAGATCTCAAAGATGCATTTTGCAAGCGTTTTCTTTTTAAAACAAGGGGATTTATATGGTTAAAAAACTCTTGCTAACTTTAAAATCCTTGCAACGTGTAGAGTGTCTGCATACAAATCGCCATGTTGACTGCTCGATGAAACACCATCCTTCTATTCCTCCCTCTCCGACCCATGCTAATCCGGAGTCCTACTTTTTGCAGAAACATAATCCCCATTTAGCATTAGCTGCAAGGACCTCTGCTGTGAGGAACTATATATATATTTTTATAGCTATGCGCCGCTTCACAACAGCTTTTGCGAGACGTATTCCCAGCTCAGCAAGAAGCCGGCACTCCTGAATGAACCAGAGCACATTAGTGAGAGAAAGTTCATTAACCTCGCTAGATTCAGGGGTTAACAGGATCGCTGAAGAAAGGAACCGAGTGAACGGCTCTGATGCAAAACAAATTAAAATGAATGTCATCGTTCCTTTTGATATTCATTAGCTAATTCAGAGGGAGAATGCTCTTCTTAGATTTGCAGCCATTTATCAGTGGAAAACAGGTGTACATCTGCTGCTCAAGAGCTTCTCAGTGGTTACTGTTCGGGGGGGGGGGGGGGGGGAGAAGAAAGGCATGCACAGACTCACCACATCCACTGAGAGAGTAACCGGGAGAGGGAGAGAAGACCTGAGCTGCAAAATCCTCAAATGTCATGACTTCTTTGTGATTCTGGATTATTGCTTCAAGATACAGTGCTCTTTCTTCATAACTACAGGAAACAGGTTAAGGAAAATGCATACATGGACGCCATCACAGACACACACACACCCCCAACCACGCAAACATGTGAAGCCCATAGAAGTTATGAAGGGAACACCTCCATTTTCAGAAAGGTACTTGTCATAAAACCAGAGGATTCACAGTTAACGTCTTTCAGGTAGCTTGACATAGGCATTAGGAACCTGAGAACAGCATTTTCCAGTATAAGGGTGGGTTTTTTAAAAGACAACAACGAAAGGCTGCTTTCCACATGGATGTTTCACTCCGCCTTCTCTTCAAAAACAGAGAGCTTTATTGGGAGCATCCACATGATAAGCCTCTAGCCGTGAGGGTTTCCTCTGTTTTGCTCTGATCTTTCCCAAACCTGGTTTGATATGACCTTTCCACAAAGAAGAAGAAGAAGAAGAAGAAGAAGAAGAAGAAGAAGAAGAAGAAGAAGAAGAAGAAGAAGAAGAAGAAGAAGAAGAAGAAGAAGAAGAGGAGGAGGA